AACTTAAATCCACTTTTTATAAACTGCTAATTATAATGGAAAATAGTTTCTAAACCATACTACAATAAAGATACTGTCTCTCGCACCTGTTAAAATATATATTGACAGACTCTTCCATAGGTCACTAGCCATTAAGTTGGGTTAAGCGTGGCACACAAATATTATAAGCCTTAATTAAGGAACAATCAATGAACTTAGTATAAAAATAATTATCCTAAATATAAATACATTGTGAATTAAAGAATATATCATTCAATAACTTCATACTAATTTTAAATACTGAACGAAGTTAGTTCCCATCGCAACTTGTCTATTACAGCCGGGCTTAAAATAGCGATTTTGTCATGAGGGGAACTTTTCTTTTACAGAGCGATGGGTGATGTTTACTTTCAGAGAAGTAAGAATTTTAAAAAATAATAAAAATGAAAAAAAAAACTTTTTAGAATATTTATTTGAAAGACTGAAATGAGGGTTATCATTTATTGCATACACACGACCAGTCGGTCTAGTTCACGATAATTTTACATGACCTAACCACTCATTTACTAGACTGGGTCGGTCGGACGTGCCTTAGTGTCAAACCCTGCTTAACCAATGAACCCTTAGTGGGGCTTTCGTGTCATATGGACATACTTGTAATTTTTTTGTCAATCATATTTTAATTTGCATATTTATTAGGAATTAATGATTGAAAACATGGAGAAAATTTCAATTAAATAATGATATATACATATATTTGAATGCTAGGTGCTAAAAGTCTATGATTTAGCAGGATAACCTTCATATATTCATTTGCTTAGGGGTTTTTTTTCACACAAACCAACACAGGTAAATTAATTTTATATGTGTAGAATCCAGAAGACCAACATTACTATGATTTGTGAAATTGATATTATGTATAAATATATGCTGTGAAATTTAAGATTGAAATTGTTCAGACCACTATAGGCGTTTACTCCAGGACATATATAAGACATATACTTTATGCTTGATTTACTTCAAATGGAAAAAATATTTACATTCACTGAAGATTATCTGAAAACCACTTTCACCAATCAGTAAACACTGGTACACTAGTTAGAACCATTTTTTCAAGCCACCTGTATAAGTTTCTTATGCAGTGTGCTTTTTAATCAATGAAACATACAATGACTATATCATATCAATAATACAATATTTAACATACTTAAATCTACTTTAAATGATTTTATGCCTGCCTTCCCATATTCCATATAAATAAGAAGACTCACTCCCATATAAAGAATAAAAATGGTCATTTATTAAGGAGCACAAAGCATAAGAGCTGCATAAAACATAAAACCATGTAAAAAGTCGCAAAAAGAATATTACACTAAAATCAAGAACATGTGATGTGTTGCGACAGGTACAAAATACAACACTCCTTCAATAAATGACAATAAATCAAAAACATATATATATACATACAAAAACATTACAAAACTATCACCCAGTTGTATCCTGGGAAATGTACGGACTAGTTAAAATATTATGCAACAAAGTTTTGGCCATTGGAAGGACTAGATATAAAGTATGTCCTAAACAAAGCAGTGATATGGGGTGTTCATCTGCCCAATTGGTTGTAAAAATAAAATGAAGGTGGAGGGGAGGGTGGTGGCAGACAGTAAAAATATTGTGGATGTTTACATAAGGGACTATGAATGCGCATGCGCCGACTAGTTAATATGCATAAAAATCAAGTGCGCATGCTTGAACTAAAAATACCTATCAAAAGACAACATCAAAGTAAACATAAACAAATACATGTGTCCTGGTCAACATGCATAAACTATTTATTGACATAAATTTGTTTTATGCCTGCCTTCCCATATTCCATATAAATAAGAAGACTCACTCCCATATAAAGAATAAAAATGGTCATTTATTAAGGAGCACAAAGCATAAGAGCTGCATAAAACATAAAACCATGTAAAAAGTCGCAAAAAGAATATTACACTAAAATCAAGAACATGTGATGTGTTGCGACAGGTACAAAATACAACACTCCTTCAATAAATGACAATAAATCAAAAACATATATATATATACATACAAAAACATTACAAAACTATCACCCAGTTGTATCCTGGGAAATGTACGGACTAGTTAAAATAGTATGCAACAAAGTTTTGGCCATTGGAAGGACTAGATATAAAGTATGTCCTAAACAAAGCAGTGATATGGGGTGTTCCTCTGCCACCTTAACAAGGTAGGCTATATCTATCAGTTCTCTAACTGCTTTATCCTATAGGTATAGGCTATCTTGTTAACGCCCCATATTCAACATCATATACAATGCCTATGTACAAAGGGAAAGTAAGGGGTTGTGTACAAAATATGCTTTTTATCGCTAAGCAAATGGAAAAATACTATTGATATGAAGCAATACAATAAAAGAAAATACAGAACATGTTCTTAAAAGAATGTTTAATTACTTAGAGCCCCTGACTCCAAGTAAGTTTACAATGTGGTTTAATTGACAACCAGTAGCCCCTGTCTACATGGTTGCTATTGTAGTGGATATGAAGCCCCTGTCTACACAATCCGAATAGAAACACTTAAGTCACCTAAAATTTTAGTGTTGGGATTCTGATGTACTTTTTATAGGCAGATGAGTTCCATCTGCCCATACTTTGAATTTGCAATTCGGAGAACCCAAGTGAGGCAGCTGTGGTGGCAGCGCCAATTCGAAAACTATGCGTGTTGTAATTTTGTAAGTCTAGGTTACAAAAAGCTAAGACCGAACGCAACTGCTGTGTGAAGTACTGACGGGAGATGGGCAAACCGTCCATGAATGAGAACAAAGGCTCCGACTGTGAAGAATGATTTCTGAGATTGAGGTAATGCAGCAGAGCTTGGTACGGGCATACTAATGGGTCCTCAGTATTTTGTTGCAAGCGTAGTGTAGTTGTGTTTGCCTTTGAATGTTTGAAGTGAGGTATATTTATGTCTATGAACCTGTTAAGTGGACTGTTGCATCCTATAGACACATTACCAAAAAGAAGGAAATGTTGAGTTGTATTGTTTGTCTTGGTTATTTCTCCGACTCGTAAAAACGCACAAAACGCTAGAGTAAACATGGCACGTAAGAGTGATTTTGTGAAATCTGATGTAGTGGTAAAATCCAAAGCATGGATCAGTTTCCTCAAAACTGTTGGGGTTATTGGAAGCCTAGGGTCGGCTGTCGGTTTAGATTTACGGAATCCTTGGAGCATTTTACGAATGATGAAATGCTGTGTTATATCTGTGTAGTTTCCAAGCTGGAAGATGAAACTTAATGAAGAAATTAGTGTGGAAGTTGTGGATGCGGCAAATCCTTTCTGATAGCACTGTGCAATAAACCCTGATAGGTGTTGGACACAAGGTGGTAGTGGAGAAGCTTGGTTCCCAAACGACTGTTCAACGAAACATTTGTAAGATGAAAAGGCTGACTTGTAAGCAGATAGAGTTGACGGTGATAAAGAATTTCTAACTAAAAAGTCAGCTGTTTGGGTCAAATTGTCACTAATGCTGCCGGAACTGGAGTTGGCCTGCTGTCCATATGTGGGAAGCGGGCTCGGAATTCTTTCACCTGCAAGCGAGAAAGTAAGTCAGCAGCTGTATTAGATATTCCTGGAATGTGTTTGGCCTGAAAATGGATATTGTGTTTCAATGAGAGGATCATAAGACGTCTCATTAATTGCATAAGGTGGGGGTCTTTTGAAGTATTTTTGTTTATAACATGCACCACGGCTATATTGTCTGAATGTAAAACCACAGTACAGTTTTCCAAAAGGGGGGCCCATATCTCTAATGCAATAACAATGGGCAGAAATTCCCTTATTGAGATATGGTATTTCAACCACTCTGGAGTGAATTCATAGCAAAACCACTTTGTACCAAAAGTGCATCCGAATCCTACATTACTTGCATCAGTGAAAAAATGCAGTGAAGATGACGAATGAGTTATGCCAGATGGGAAAAAGGCTTTGCCATTGAAGTGTTCTAGGAACACACCCCAGGCACGCAGGTCAGCCTGTGCTTGTAAATTGAGCCGACGGTGATGGTAAGGTTTTTTGAGGCCAATTGTTAGATCTATGAGACGTCTTAAGAAAGTGCGGCCGGGAGGTACAACATTGCACGCGAAATTAAGCATACCAATCAAAGACTGCAATTCTTTCAACGTTGCAAAATGCTTTGTTTGGAATTTTTTGATTTCTGCCTTTAATTGTGTTAATTTGTCTTGAGGTAATCGTATTTCCAACTTCAGCGTATCTAATTCGAGACCTAGGAATGTGAGGGTTGTGGTTGGATAAACAGTTTTTTCGGATTTGATAGGCAGACCGATGTCTTTTGCTAGTTGATAAAAAGCTAGGAGAGCACTGTAACACTTTGAGGAGTTAGGTGAACTTATGAAAAGGAAATCATCCAAAATGTGTACACAATGCAAAACAGAAAATTTTGTTTCAAGAATCCATTGAAGGGCTGAGCTAAATTTTTCGAAGAGGTTACAAGCATAACTGAGGCCAAAAGGCAAGGTTTTATCGAAGTAATACTTGTTGTCCATCATGAAGCCCAGCAGTTCGAAATCATCCGGATGAATAGGAATTTGTTTATAAGCATTCTCAAGGTCTGTTTTGGCTAACAAGGCACCCCTCCCCAATTGTTTAATTATGGTAATGGCTGTTTCTACTGACTGGTATTGAACTGAACAGAACTCTTTAGGAATGTTAAGGTTTATTGAATTTCCCTCTGGGTAAGATAAATGATGGATTAATCGAAATTCCCCTGCTGCTTTTTTGGGCACCAATCCTAAGGGTGATATCTGAATGTTTGGGAATGGTGGGTTCGAATAAGGTCCAGCTACACGGTTAGCTCGCAATTCACTGGTGAGTTTACTATCAAGAATTTTTTCATTACCCTTAAGAGACGAGAGGTTCTTGGAAATCCGAAATGCACGCTGACCTTGGTATGGGATCTTAAAACCGAAGGTAAATCCTTGAATGAGAAATGAGGTTAACGTGGAATCATAACCCTCAAGATAACTAGCCAATTTATCAACCTTAATTGGTGTAATGATACTTATATCTTTTTCACTTGGACAAAGGTGCTGGTTTGTTGGATGTGCTACTGGGTTTATTAGTGTTTTGTTTTGAAAAGCCTTGTTTTGATCGGTTGTAGCATCGTTGACGAGGGTGCTTTCCCGCACAGTACTGACAGACATGCTGGTGGGGGCAGTTGATTTTATTGCATGATCCAAGATTGTTGTAGGAGTAGCAGTAGCTATGTTGCTTGGGTTGGGCACGAAAGGGCTGTTTCTTGCTTTTAAGCTTGAAGTCTAGGCCCGAGACTAAAGCTTCTTGATATAGTTCAATATTTTTCTTATCCCATGCACACGAGGAAGGTTCTTTTTCGCGCCAACGCCGAAATTTTTCGTCATACAGTAAGGCCGCTCGATCCCCACAAGAGTCGGCGATTTTTTGCACAGTGTGTGCGTAGGTCATCAGTTTACCAATTTCATGGGGGAATTTCTCCGCATAAATGGCTACAAATATGTGGAAGGCCTCGACCCACTTGTTGATTGTTTTCAATGAACCTTTTTCATTTGTCTTAACGAAGATTAACTGACCATCTTTATCTACTGACTTATACTTTTCAGTTTCTTCATAATCAAGGTCATTGGGCAATAGGGTAGCAAATTTAACGAATTCGTTGGCATGGATTTTGGCCCTTATTTTAATGTCTACCCCCAATGTTAGGCCTGTTGCAGGGTGTGAGTCCCCCTCTTTAGTTTGTTCAGGCAAAGGGTTACCTTGTGCGGTAATTTCCTGGAACAGTGGAGGGTTGGTTGGCACGGTCTCAGAAGGGACTGAATCAGACGCCGCTGACTGGGGCTGTCCAAGCTGTGCTATGATGGTAGGAGGATTGGTCTGCGTCTGGCTACTTCTGCTATGATAGTCAGCCATATAACGCCTAAAAGAGTCCTCAATAGATGGTAGGATTGAAGCCATACAGGACCGTATCATTTCTTCCTGGTCTCCTTGCGGCATTCCTGCAGTGGGGGGAATCTGATGGCCATCGCTGGTATTGGCCGAGGCTCCTTTGCTTCTCTTCCTCCTCTTGGGTGTTGATGCCATCTGGTGAAAGCAAAATATATAGATGAAATAAAGACAATCCTGCTACTCGTACTGAATGGTTGGATTCATAGTATATATATACATCATACATGGTTTGAAGTTTCCAACCATTCAACATAAACATCAAGCATTAAGTCTAGAGAATATGACATATAGCTGGTAAATCAATTTAGGAATCATTACCAGACAAAGCATGTTTTACTTTAAGTAACTGCACTTAAGCTTGTGCAGGTAAAAGGATCTTATGTCATAATTAATAAGTAAAACATGTACCTACATTTGTCAATATAGCATTCAAGCTTAAACTACCATGTTGTAGGTACAATGTATCATTAGCGTAGACCGACCAGTCGCTTAACATAGCACTGTGACCTTCAAATTAACAGCAAACAATGCCCATACACCAGGCATAACATAGCACTGAGGCTTAATATAGACATTGCAAACAATGCAAATGAAACTGGAGATAACATAGCACTGAGGCTAAAAGTAAACATTGCAAATAAGCTAGAAATAACATAGCGCTGAGGCTAAATGTAAATGTTGCAAATAATGCAAATGTATCGAGAATAACATAGCACTGGGGCTTCATGTAAACATAGCAAATAATGCAATTATAACATAGCACTGAGGCTTAATATAAATGTTGCAAATAATGCCAATACACCAGGAATAACATAGCATGTAAACATTGCAAATAATGCAAATATACTGGGAATAACATGGCACCGAGGTTTCAAGTAAACATTGCAAATAATGCAAATTTAGCAGGAATAGCATAGCAGTGAAGCTTCAAGTAAACATGTTAATGATGCAAATATACCAGGCATCGAAAGGCCCTTATACATGTAGCTTTTTAGCTGCAGCAAATATTGTACACAGCTGAGTTTCAATAGCTAGTGCCAACTATAGCAACCAGGGAATATCCTAAATTTGAGTGTAAAAGTGTACTAAAATCGAAGCAGTTACCTGTTTCCAGACAAATATATATATACGTGTTTGGATGCTGTTGTCTGCAGTTCTTAATTTACACCTTTTACTGAAATAGATAAAGCATGTTAGCATGGATAATTAAAACTTGAAAATTATACATGATTTCAATAAAGATACACTCGAAAGATGCATAGCGCTAAACTAAATGGTGTGTAAAATTGACCAAGTAATATTTTACATTACTAACTCTATTAAGTATTTGCACATAGTTAAAACATTTAACATTCTTAAAATTGATTGTCCATTAATTATTAAGTTAAAGTGTTAATAAAAATTGTTTGCACAGCAATATTTACAGCTAGAAGCCCCTGTCTTCAATGCTGTTTTGCTGTAGATGTAGATTACTGTCTGTGTAGAGCCAATAACACGCCCCTTATCTGTCTGTAGAGTTTATGATGCCCTAAATTATTAAGGTGCACCCCATCACACAGAATTGGATCACGACTTTCAGAAAAACCTTTAAGTTTCCAGAACACTAGACCGTGGCTAGTACAATAGTCTTTAAGATGAAGGTTAGCTTCTTTGACCCGCTGGTTATATGAGAAATTGTCTATATTTCTAAGCGAATATCTTGGAATGAAACTTAGCACAGTAACTGATATCAGACGAAATCCTCGTTTAAGCTGCGTTAAAAATGCAGTCAGTTTAGCCACTGTACAATCCACACTGTAATCTAGGTCACATGAATCTAGGTCATTACCCCGATAAAAACAATAAGGTGTTGTGGCTTATATCGCCTAACTGCAGATACAATTAAAGACAAATGGCGATTATTGTCTACAAGTCCACCGCTTATACCAAAATAGTTTACTTCCTTCAATCCAGATATATCAAAAACAGAATCAGCTGGACGGTCTGTGCCTAAGAATGACTTCAGTCTTTTCACATGCGAGTCTCCCACTATCAAGGTTGACATCGTCAAGCAAACAAGAAACGACTGGATAAGTAAATTCATTCACACGTAACCACGATTAGTCAAATGTTCGAGCGGCGAGATAAATAAACACATTATGTCCAGTTGATGCCTCGCACTGAAGAATCCCGAAACAATGTCTGTTTAGCCTGTAGCGTCACTGCGCGCCATTTGCACAGAATGGGCCGTAGAACCGATGCTATCGATAAATCACAAAAAGGGGGGTATATGTACAATAATTACCTTTGGAACTATGTACTACGTATCCTTGGCGTTGTTATAAACTTTATAGGGTCGATGGAAAGTCGTTATAGATATCGCATAAGCACATAAAACACTCCTTTACAGACAGTAAAAATATTGTGGATGTTTACATAAGGGACTATGAATGCGCATGCGCCGACTAGTTAATATGCATAAAAATCAAGTGCGCATGCTTGAACTAAAAATACCTATCAAAAGACAACATCAAAGTAAACATAAACAAATACATGTGTCCTGGTCAACATGCATAAACTATTTATTGACATAAATTTGTTATGTATACAGGCATAGATATAAATAGTAAAAATAAGGTATATGTGAACTGTGAGGTAGCAGGAAATATTGCTGCCACTATACTGAGGTAGAAAAGATCCAAAGTCGTCTAAAATATTATTTTTGTTATACAGTTAAACTCATTTAGTACGAACACGGATATTGCGAATTCACAGATATAGCCAAGTTTTCTTGGATCCCCAGCTAAATAAATTTTATGAATTCCTTATACGGATATAACGAATTACAGTTATAGTGAAGTAATTTCACAGGTCCCAGTGACCGTTATAACTGAGTTTTACTGTACATTTCTTATCTGTTTATTCTAGGATCATCTAAAGATGTTGCAATGTACTTCGCTAAAGCACTGGTGGAAGCTGTTACTGAATATATAAAGAGCAACAAAAGTTCATCACTTCAGCAGATATTTATTTTGAATATGGAAACTTTTCGACATGGATTGGTTAAAAGTGAGCTTATAAGGTTTACAAAGGAAGCCTGTAATTCCAATTCCTATTTAGAAAATGCAGTTTTTGTGAATGCTTATCTTGATCCTCAGACTGATAAAAAATATGTACCAGGCACTCTGGTTTGAAACATTTCAAGAATATATTGAAAGCAAATTAACTAGAATTTTTTTGAATGAAAATTCAGTCAGTATACACAAGTGTAATTTGATAATTAGACATATCCATGTATAAATGCACATTTCATTTACTTTTGTTGTTAACATTTTAATGAATGTTTGATTACTGAGAGCACATAGAGATGCTTGTGAAGGGAAATACTGATTTCTACAAGAATGTGCTTTCTTAGCTCAACTGAACCAATTAAAGGCTCAAGTGAGATATACTGATCCAGATTTGTCCGTTATCTGTTTTTGTAGGTATAGTGTCCTTTTCACCTTTTCATTATCACTATAGATTGAACCACTTTAGCCAATATCAGGCAAACAGAGTATCCATGGGTAAAGGGATCCAAATTTGTTCAAATGAATTAAGTGCCATGCCCCATTATATGAAATAAAAATCAAGAAAGAGAAAAGTAGTGTACATGCAGTTATTCAAAATCTCCTCAAGAACAATGGAGCCAGAAAAAATTAAACTTAAGTGAAAGCTTTCTGTCAGAGTATAAAATCAAGTTTTTTTCAATCCATGTCACCTCTTGATTAGGATGGGGCCAAAAAAGGGAGTATTAAATTTTTACATCAGATTATGTAGGAAAAACTCTTTTTAGAAAATCTCAAGAGCAGCATGTTCACAATTATTAAGGAATATTAAAACGAGTCATGATCATGCAAGCATTTAATAGAAATGCATGTTCAAGTCTGTTCAATGCCTAACCCCCAGGGGTGGAAGGGTGGGACCACCCAATAAGATCAGATGTATAGGAATATATTGTATTTGTTAAAAATACTAATTGCTCAAACAGCAAGACCATGATAAATATTAAAAATGAAAGCATTCTCAGATAGTGCAGAGTCAAGATTGTTCAAATCATGGCCCCAGAGGTAAGTTGGGGCCACTATAGGGGATTAAAGACATAAGAAAAATTTAAAAGAAGTTGGTCCATAATTAAATCAATAACTTTAAGATGCTAGCATCCTCAGTTGCTGCAGGTTCAAGTTTATTGATTTTGTGGCATCCCCCAGGATATGGTTCAAGTTCAGTTAAGTCATTTTCCCTTGACACTTGGGTTGGGCCACAGTATGGGGTCAAAATTTTTCATGGGAATAATTAATTAATAAGGTGGAATATCTGGGAGAGATTTGCTTGAGAACAGCAATGCCAAGGTGACTCAGATGAGCATTGTGGCCTATGGCATAGAAATTCAATATTTCTAGTACATCTACTGTATATAACAATTAATATATAAAGCAATTTAGACTATGTATATACCCAGTACCTAAATTTCCATATGAAATGGTTTGTTAAGGGATTTTATTACATGTTAACCCCTTGACCCAGTGATACAGTTGATGGTTTATTTTTTGTGTCACAATGTTTGTATTTCAAACTAAGCATTGACATGTGATATCATGTACTAAATAAATATACTTTTGTGTGCATTGACAAACATGGAATATGGAGAGAGACTCATAATAATTAAATTAATCAAATTAATAAATGAAATTTGCAAAATGCAATTTTCCCCTTTTTAGCTCATCTGAACCAAGGGCTCAATCAGTTTTTCCTTTTAGAAATTTGTATGTTGTCTGTCATTTTTGTAAACCTTTAACAGTTTCTCCTTCTCTGGAACCATTGGACCAGTTTCAACCAAATTTGACACAGAGTATCCTTGGATCAAAGAGATTTAAATTATTTCAAAAAAGGACTGTTCCCTTTTCCAAAGGGATATAATCACAAAGCAAGACTAGTGCAAAATATAGGGTTGGGTCATTTTAATATGTTCTTTTAAGAGCCATAGCCAGAAAAGATGAAAGCCTCCTGACAAAGTGTGGATTAAAATTTATCTAATTGCAAATCCTGACCCTGTAGGGTAGAATGGTGCCAATACAGAGTATCAAAGTATTGCATGGGTTTAAATGAGGAAAATT